TTTACTGCTTATCTATACAGACGACTGATTTCATGTGGAAATTCCTGTACATAGTTTTTAAAGTGACTTTTTTGCATGACATCTATTAAAATGTTCTATTTATGAAAAATTGCCATTTATGGTGTAACTAAACTATCAAGCACACGAGAGGCAACACTTCAAAGAACAATCTGTTTAAAAACCTGTACACTGGAGGACCACCATAGACAAAAGCCATGTAACACTGGGGGTATATGACAAAAATAAAGAAAGTCTGAGCAGAAAATGGAATAAATATTCACAAAGTGGCTACAAAACATGCAGGTGCAGCATGATCTAATGATCTGACTCTGGCTGATGGTTCAAACAGGAGAAATGTAGACTGGCAGTATCATGAGCTCTTCTGTGATATTCTGATTGTGACTGCCTTGATTTCAGTGTACTCCTGCAGTGCATATTCCCCCCTGAAATAAGAAAAACAAGCACTACTGATTAAAAAGAGAACGAGTTTACTAGTCAAGTTGCAGTGCATTGTTACAAAGTCTCAAAGCAACGATTACGTAGTTGTTTGATGGACATTAATGCAGCAAATGTAAAGGTTAATTTCCTTAGATTTCAAAATGGCAACACTCACAGTTCTCTCCCATTCCCAGACATCTTGAAGCCACCGAATGGACACTGAATACTCATGGCATTGTAGCAGTTCACCCTAGAATTAAAGCAGCATTAGTTTCACCTTATTCCTTAAAAACAGGCATACAATAGTAGTAGCTGCACTATTCCAAAGTCTAATGGGACTTTAAGAGAGGCTTCAGTTATCATGCTCTGTGCAAAGGATGTGATCCATACCAGATCATGCCGGCTTGCAGAGCAGAGGAGACTGTAAGGGCTTTGTTGATGTCATTAGTGAAGACTCCTGCTGCCAACCCGTATTGTGTGGCATTGGCTCTCTGGATGACTTCACTGATGCTGTGGAAACACATAATCTGCTGCACCGGGCCAAATATCTGCAAGAGGATGGTAGAGAAATCTTACAAAAGGAAAAAAATGAGCAGTAGAATTAGACCACGTATTTTAATATGTGCTCCACCGTTGGGGGTGTGAGTACCTCTTCTTTAGCGATACGCATATGGTCTCTGACATTTGAGAACACGGTGGGTTTGATGAAAAGTCCCTGCTGACCCCCTGGAGAGCCACCGCACTCCAGAGTTGCACCTTCTCTCTTCCCGCTTTCTATTAGCTCCATTATCTTATTAAACTGCTTCTGGTCGATCTGAGGAAAAAAATAAACAAAGCTCATATTATTCTGACCTGTCTGACTTGTTAGTTGGTAACAGTATTCAGGCCACAGTATACCTGTGGTCCCTGGTCCACGCCTGGCAAGAGTGGGTTTCCCAGGACTTTGGATGTGGCTTTCTCTACACTGCGGCGGACAAATTCCTCGTAGATTGGTTCCTCTACAAACACCCTGGATCCTGCCAGACAGCACTGGCCCTGATTGAAGAACAGACCACTGTGTGCCTGCTCCACTGCGTACTCTACTGCAAGACATATACACAGAAAAGCCACCTTTAACTGCTGGTAGTTGGCAGATTTCTTTTTAACAACAGATGCCCTTCGTGACACGACCCCAAAGGGATTCTTCTACTCCCAGGTTCAAACGAGGGATCATTCACTTGTTAGGGAAAACCACTACAGTAAGATAATACTACTACAAGATATATCATATAAAGATATCAAATCTAAAAGAAAGATTTATAAACCACAAGTGTGACTTAATATGGTGCTGCACTTTATTTGTTCAATTCAGAAATGGTTAGACATGGTAAAGGTATAAAAGAATATGACATTTAAAGAGAGAAATGTGACGTAATCAAGTGAAAAAAAGGTCCTACTCACAGTCACAGTCTGCAAAGACAATATTGGGATTTTTTCCACCAAGTTCCAGTGTGACTCTCTTCAGGTTGCTTTCACCTGCAGCCTTCTGGATAAGTTTTCCAACCTGGCAACCAGTGACAACCATGTGAGCCGCATGGTTACAGTAAAGGAGTTCATTTGTACATGAGTGAAATGCACAAAAACAGAAGAGAGCAAGCTGTTCACACAGACACACTGTGCTGAGATTTATACTAACAGCAGTAGATCCGGTAAAGGCTACTTTGTCTATATCCATGTGGTGAGAAATGGCACAGCCTGCTGTCTGACCATAACCAGGCAACACATTCACCACTCCAGGAGGAAACCCAGCCTGAACACAGAGAGTTGAAAAGAGAGCCACTCAGTCATCTTCTTTCAGTAAGAAATGGACTTG